ACAAACTGTGAAGAGTTATTCCTTATCTGACCTTACAAATTCTATATATCTTTCAAGGCTCAGTTCAAATTCAAACCTCAAATTCTCCTTAAATTCAGAACATGAGCCACTGACAAAATTCCTCAACTTTTCCATTATTCAGGCAATTATTTCTCTTTGAATTCCTACGTTTGTTGGAATTTGTACCTCAGGTACCTTAGGTCTTAGTAATGTCTTATGTTCTTTGTAAATCATAGTCATAGAAAAATAGAATGTTAGAAATGGAAGAAAACACAGTTCATTGGATCCAAGTCTTCTTTCAAAGATGATATAGCTGACATGTAAGGCACAAGTAAAGTCTTTGCTTAAAATTCCACATCATACCACTAGCATATCTAGGACCAGAACTTGAGACTCTTTCCTGTTAGGCCAAAGATCTTTGCCCTATATTACTTCATGGGTTGTAATGATTTTCTCTAATACTAATGTTCTCGGAGCAAGAGATCATGTCTTTTACTTCTTTGCAATTTGAAAGAATTCATCTAGCAAATCTAGGTAAGAAGCATAACAACAAGAAGGAAGCTTAGCCCCAAGAAGGAAGATAGATAATGAAACATTAATGAATTGGCAGTACCTACATAGACTTCAGTGTTGAAGAGGATTCAGGGGTTAAATTTAAGCTTTGACATAGGAAAGAATGCCATGATTGACTAGTAATACCTGCCATAGATACAGGAGGAGAGAATACAATGCATATGTCAGGCATGGCACAATAACCAGTCCTCTTCTACTGTATGACCCCCCCTCACCCCCCAGGAAAGATACACATGGAGAAAGGAAGGAGAATATGGATACATACTCAGTATCCAGAAGGGAGGAATGAATCCTAGTTACCAGTGTGGTGACATATGCTCCTACGAGATTGTCTCACTGTTAACTTCTTTGTAACCCCTAAACCTATAGGCATGTAGTAGGTGCTCAATGAGGACTTACTAATTGATTGAAATTAGGCTATAACAAATATTTTCACAACAGAGCTGTCCCATCTTTCTTTGATTTCCCTGTGCCAATCGTAGTTCTTGGTACTTGATAGGTGCTTTAAAATTCCTTGTGGAATAAAAACACAACCTTCCAAGCATGGCCTTAATCTCTAGGTTATCAATGCACAGTCCCATCTGATCTACAATTGAGAATATTGTGAGCTGATGACTGTGTTACATTAGTGTCTTCTGTATTCTTTGAACCACCTCTCAAAGTTGCCTAGATGGCATGAAAGAAAAAGGGGGATTCAGAAAACTCTAACATACGGGATTTTATGAGTCAAATTGCGGGGAAAATCTGACTCCGCATGGACTTCCATTCTGTATGTCATTCTTCTTCCGTAGCCTCATAGGCTCACTTTGCGTGATGTCAGGAGTTCCGGGAGTCAAAATAGTGTGGGGGCATAGATCCAATATTGACTCATACTCGGTGGAAGAAATCTACACCAAAGTCTGGATGAGATAATTTGGTTGTAAGTGCTAGGGATATGACTGCTGATCACAGAGGAAAAAGGGTAACCAAGGTGTAAATTTTGTCTTACGATTACCTACTCAGTTAAGAATGAGGAGAGCATGAGATACGATCAAAAATCTTGCTGACGCCTAATGCATAATCATAGCCAGTTTTCAGAAAGAAAGTCTAGCTGAAAAGAAAAAAGAAAGTTTTCAGCCCCTTTGTTTTAGTAATATGGTCACACTTGGGCTCCTGGTGGGTTTGTAAAACTTTTAAAGGATATCATGGTGGCGAATTATTCTGCAGTCTCAGTGTTGGCTGAACCAACGAGGTGTGAAACCTCTAGTTTGCATGTGTAACATAAGGTGTTTTACAGGCAGAAAAGAGAGAGAAATGTCTTCTTTGGTAAAGTTGACAAGACAGGAAAAGATCACAAAAGGAAATACTATTGTAGTGACAACATTCTGAACCAAAGAATCATATGTCAAAAGATGAAAATCTAATTAAATGTGATTAAATTCTAGCCTGGGATACAGGACCGGTTACACAATTTGCAGAAACCAGTGTGAAATGAAAATGGAGCCCCTTGTTAGAAAATTATTAGGAATTTTAAAAAGGTAACAAAAGAGCATTTAAACTAAATGTAGGCTGTTCCAAGTACAGAATCTTGATAGATTGTGTCTCATGTCCATGTTGTCTCATGTCCGTCAAGTTGGGCCTGATAGGATGTCTGAGAATTTTAAAACTTTTATTTAGTCTTACTATTTTTTAAGAAATTAAAGAATGACTATTATCTCACAAATTCTACAGAAAAAAAATCCCAGAAACCAAACCTGATAGGATGTAATTATTTGAATTCACATATCTAACACAGTTGGAGACACATACAATAATCTTAATGGATATTGACTGATTAGGGGACAGGTAGATTAGGGAAAAGATCTTGGTTCTAGACTTGGCTCTACATTATCCAGTTGAATGAACTTAAGCACATCACTTTATTTTTCTGGGTCTTGATTTACAAATCTAAAAAGTAAGAGAATAGACCGTAGATAATCTCCCTAATTCCATATTTCTGTGCTGTGCTTGGTCATGTTATCAAGATATTAGAGGTTGGATTTCAGTCATGTAGTTACTAATTGCAAACATCTGACCGTATTGTAAACATATTCTTAATATAGATCTGTAATTTTGAATAGGCATACCCCATTTATAAACACCCAAATAATGTATAATTCCCAATTATGGCCCCCACTGCTCTTAACTCCTCACCCCCAACACCATATTTCAGTGGATAAATCAAGGGATGGGCAAAACCAATCTTAACTCCTTTTCAGAAAGTTGGGAATATTCCTTCCAGTACCTAGAAGTTTGGCCATTGGTTTCCTAGATGGTGATGAGTGCCTGCAGACTGTCCCAAGGTTCGGATAAGGCTTTCTTACCACTATGTCACTCTGTGAGCACATTATCTGGGCTGTATTTTTTTTCTTGAGGAGACCTACAATAGAGCTTTGTGGCCAGCATTGTAATTTCTATACTTTTCACTTGTTTAACATGAGACTTTTGTCGTACAGATAGGTTTTGATCTTGCTTATTCTTTGGGAAGATAGCCCCCTCAAAGAGTTTTCTGGCCTTTTGCACATAAAATAATACATGAGATTGTCCCAGTAAGCAGAAGTTGGCATAGCATCACATTGACCATAAATCCCATTTAATTAAAAACCAGTTTCCTACAGGTTAGGTCTGACAGTATTATGATGAGAAATTGAGGGAAAAGAACTCAGAGTAGATCTTCAAATAAGCATTCAGATTCACATTTATTCATAGCTGTCTATGGGTATATGTTAAAATGCTTAAGGGAACAAAAGAGGGTTACAGAAGCAATACAACAATTTCTGGTTTCAAGGACCTCGCTCTAACAGGGGAGATAATACTTGAGTAACTCTGAGAATGAGGGGCCAGGGCTCTTAAAAAATTATGAAGCAAGTGCTAGGCCTGAATGGAGGATATAAGGTTAATTTTAATAAGGAAATTTGGGGAGAACTTATGGAGATAATGGTTTCTAGGCTAGGCTTGGATGGATGGGTACCACTCTGAGGGGCTGATGAGGGGGAAGGGAACTCAAGGCCAAACGAATAGCCTAAGCAAAGGTTCAGGGTGTGTTCTTTTTAGGAACAACTGGTCATCTAACCTGCCTGAAAAACAATAGATAACTTATTGGGTGCTGACTGCATGCCAGGCAAAATTCTTAGCGCCTCATGTGTATCAAGTGATTTAACTTTCCACTGAAGTCTAGAAGGAGATACTAAAATTAGTCCCCTTTTAAAGACAAGGAAACTGAGTCTTAGAAGAGTTAAGATGCTTCCTCAAAATCACATGGCCAGATATTCATGGAACCAGGATTCAAGTCTACATCCATAACACAATACTCCAGATGATATAGAGTGCAGGTTGAAGTGCAACGTGGGTTGGAACCAAAGTGTGGAGGGCCTTCTGTACCATTCTGAGTGTTTTACTTCATAAATGAATTACTAAGGGAGGGAAAGAATCCTACTTTTTAATTTTTTGGTATGTGGAAGGAAAAGAAATAAAGAAAAGAAAAAGATTCTCCGTTATTAATGGTTATTTGGAACAATTGATCATCCGAGCTATACTGTTCAATAGGGAATCCTCTAACCACATGTGGCTATTGAGCATTTGGAATATGACTAGTCCAAACTGAGATGTGCTATAGGTATAAAATGCATGCTGGATTTCTAGGATTTAGTATGACAAAGAAAGGTAAAATAATTTTATGTGTTGATACATATTAAAATGATATTTGGGATATATTGGATTAAATGCAACATATTTAAATGCAAATTATTTTTACCTGTTTCTTTTTACTTTTCTTCTTCTTCTTCTTCTTCTTCCTTCTTTTCTTATTTCTATTGGGCGGTGTTGGTCTAGAGCAACGCAAATTTGTGGTAGATATTTTATTAACCAACTTTGATGAAGGACTTCCTTACCACCTTGGTCTTTTAACCACACTCTTTCCTTGCTTTCTGGTCATTTGCAAGAAAAATTTTAAAAGGCACCCCCTTTTGTAAAGGTTTGAGCTCCCCTAGAATTTCCTTTTTTACTTGCTCCTGACCACAAACAAATAATCAATGTGCTCTGTGGATAATAACTCAACAATTTACAAGGGCAAAGGATGGAGGTGCACAAAAATTTCCAATCCCTGGATGCTGTGAAGTAAAAGTGCTTTCAAAGGATGCCACAAGAATGGCACCGGTGGGCATAATGGGTCTGTCTCATCGTCAAAAGACCCAAGGAGTTGAAAGGAAACTCTAACTACAACACCAGAATGCCACAAAACCATAGTTATTAATACAAACTAGCATCTCCCCCTATCTGTCACCATCTCATCTAAAAAAAACTTGTGAAAATACGTAATCCTGAGGACTTCAACTCAGTATAAATACCAGCAGCAGAAGGAGATGCAGTACATTTTTCTGATTGTCTGTAGGTCGGCTATTAGAAAAGAAAGATCAGCCAAGTCGTCTGGACCTGATCAACTTAACCTTAACCTCTGGATCTGATCAACTTAAGCTACTGATTTCAACTACTTCCGGCCTAACTACGAAACAATGAATTACACAGGCTATATCTTAGCTTTTCAGCTTTGCGTGATTTTGTGTTCTTCTGGTTACTACTGTCAGGCCATGTTTTTTAAAGAAATAGAGAACCTAAAGGAATATTTTGTAAGTATGACCTTTTAATAACACTTGCTGTGGCTGAAATGACTGAATGTTGACTGGGAGTTGTCTCTATGATATGCTGCCATCTCTAGGCCATAGTCATCTTGAGAAGACTTGGTGTTATTTTGATTGTTTACTAGATGCATTTTTTAACTAAATGATCTAGATATTGCTTTTACCCTCTGCTCAACTTGCTATAGAGACTTAGGGGGCTTTCGCTAATCTTCCGAAAGATGGGAACAATATGGGTATAAAGCAAAACGGTGTTGATAATTTTGTGGCAAGAATCCATTCAGTTGTCAAGTAGTATGCATATTGAAATAATGACTAGCTATTAGTTTCTGACTTTAGAGTACTACAGGGGTGACAATAAAATGTCAAGATTAGCATTAAACATGGTAATCTGAACTGATTAAACAATGTAAAGTCCTTCAAGTTTGGGCTTAAAAAAATTATAGATGTTTCTCTCCAAAAAGTGCTTTTATAGTTCTACCGCTCTACATGTTATCTATGAATTACTCTTGAACTCAGTCACTTGCTGAGATTTTGTAGGAGTTATAATCTGGCTTATATTAAAATTTTTGTTTGTTTGTTTTGTTTTGTGAGCTTTAAAAAATGTTTTTTATGGTTAATTAAAATCATTTTTGCATTTTAAATATTTTATCATTTGTCCCAAATGTAGCTATTATAATTGGAGCTGTTATATTCAAGCATTCACAAGCTTTTTTATTCTCATGTCATCAAAACAATCTCTCTCACACACACACACATTTGGAATTATCTTTTAAAGCTGGTAATACCCATATAGGAGTGCACGAGTAGATGTTATGGAGACCAGTACCATAGGGGGGCAGTATTTTATAGTGAGATGATTTTGCTGATTTTTTTACTAGGCTTGAAAATACTTCCTTTTCCTACTACAGTTATTTGGGACAATGGAAGTATCACTGGCCTTGTTGAGTTCATTTATGATATTGCAACTTAAGGACTATACTAGAAAATAAGAAGCTAAAATGGTGTGATAGTCTTTGGTTAGATCCAACATACCAGCTTTACTAAATAGGGTTGAAAAGTAAATCAGCGGATATTGTCAGCAATAAAATTGAAGTACATTTTTAGGGAAATTAATGGACTAATTGTAAACCATTTTTCTTTCTTTCTTTTTTTTTTAGAATGCAAGTAATCCAGATGTAGCAGACGGTGGGCCTCTTTTCTTAGACATTTTGAAGAACTGGAGAGAGGTAAGCTTAATATTTTCACTTGGCTGATTTTCCTGTTGCTTATCTTCTGGTGCATAAATTCATAGCAACCTTTCTTTGTGCTCTTTTCTTCCAAGGAGAGTGACAAAACAATCATTCAAAGCCAAATCGTCTCCTTCTACTTGAAACTGTTTGAAAACTTTAGAGATAATCAGATCATTCAAAGGAGCATGGATACCATCAAGGAAGACATGCTTGTCAAGTTCTTCAATAGCAGCAACAGTAAGAGGGATGACTTCCTCAAGCTGATTCGAATTCCCGTGAGTTGATCTTAATTCTTTCTTTGGTTTCGTTGCAGAGGCTCTTGCAAAATACTGAATTTCCAGAAAGTAGATCAGCTACTGGGTACAGTTGTTAAAACTGAAATGAACCCATGGCCCAAACTCCTCCTTGGTAATTCCATTTGTGCTTGTGGGTGACTTTGCCGAGTCAGTATGGAAATCGTTTAATTTTGTGATTGGGAGGGCAATGCTGGCGTTATGTCTATTGTGCAGAGACAGGTGAATGGACAAACCCAGTGAGGAGGAAGTAGTGAAGGAGCCGAGGGGAGTACTGAGAAGCATTTCTCTCATTGCTCCTTGTTTGTGTGATGGAAATTCTCCTGCTTTGGCTGGGAGATGGCAGGTCTTAATGGAAAGAGCAGGGTGTGGGGGTGGGAATGGAGAGGAATTTTGCCTTCCTCCCACCTTGGCCACCAAGGAACCTTTTGACCTCAGATGAATCACAGGCTTGCCTAGGGCTCAGTTTCCTCATCCTGAAAGGAGGCTTTTGGGTTCACTCTTAATTTCTTTGGTATCCTTGGCTCTAAAACTGTACCATGCCATACATAGAAAAAGAGAATGAGATAGCAAAAAACTCTGGTTTTTGAAAAGGCACTAGGCACATTTTCTTGCCAGGCTCTGGTCAGCCTCTCATATGGTATAGTCCAAGTAGCAGTGAGAATGTTTGTTTTTAGAGAAGAAAATAGAATTTATACCTTATGAAGAAATCGTTCTATCAACTTTTGGATACTTAGCTATCTTAGCTGGAGAAAGCCTTAACTTCTCAAGCCTTAGCTCATGAAACTGCCTTGAGTCTTTAAAGTTATGGCTTCCAGAAGCTGAAAGATAACTTTGAAGCATAAAGATAAATCACATTTTCCAAAATGTTATCTAGGAGACAAAGGCCACTAGATTCCTTTGGCTTTGGCTTTGATGTACAAAATTTGAATGAGAAAGGGCGGGGTCTTATGATGACTTGTCCTCTCAGGATGTGTGGTGGCTGTCATTCTTCCTGGCCTGCCTCTCACCCCTCTCAGATCCGATAAGTGCTTGTTCTTCAGGATTTTTCTAGTTGCGAGTATGTCAGATGGTACAAAAGTGGTTTGGAAAATTATTAAGAACATTACTATGTTCCACTGATAGTGTTTTCCAATGGTCAGCGGATCCCCTCTGGCCCCAGGCTTGAGACTGAAAAAGCACTTGTTCCTGACCCAGGGCTGCCCTTGGCTTGCCGTTCAGTCCTCGATGAGTCTCTTGGTTTCTTGGTGATACTCGGAACACTGGAAAGTAAAATTTATCACTGGCAAATACAGCTGGTAGAAACTTTTTCCTATTCTGCTGTAACTGGGCCTTGAAAACAATCTGTGGGTCCCATCCTTCTGGAAGCTCCAAGCCTCCCGCTTCATGATGGGCGACTTTGAGTGAGCTCTCAACCATTGTCTCCTTCGGCTCAATTGCTAATATTTAAGAATGTTATGCTTTTTAATAATTTGTCCTGAAGCCTAGAATCCCTCTAGTTATTCAGAAGAGTAGCAAGGTGGCTGCAGTATTTCCAGTATTAGAAAGAAACATAGTGGCAGAGCCAAGATGAAACTAAACGGTCCCCATTTTATTAACAGTGAATTCACCTAAATGGTCCTGCCATTAGAGTGAGGAAACAGTTCAGTTTGCTGGGATAGAAAGGTGCAGGGAAATTTGCTGCAATTCCTAATTTTAAAAGTTTATGCCAGTAATTGCTTATTGCCATATGAATATGATTAGTGTTTATTTTTAATCCCATTGTGGAAATGATGAAACTGACCAAATTGGGGGAAAACGAGAAATTACAGTATTCATCTGTCTTAGACTTGGTGTTTACAAAGTACTGAACCTATATTGGTGGTTGTCAAACTTTGGTGAGTAACAGAATCACCTGGGAAGCTTAGTGACCACACAACTGCCTGGGTCTTCTCTGACTTCATGCATGTGGGTCTCTGAGTTCTTCATTAGGGTCTCCAGGTTATTCTGCTATACACCAAAGGTGAGAACCATTGACCTATAGTAACTCATTTGATACTGAAAGCAAAGACTAATTAAAGTACAAGGTGGGTAGAATTGGTAGGGACCCTAGAGATGATTGAAATAATCTCCTCATTGTTTAGATGAGAAAACAGAGGTCCAGAGAGGTCAAGTGACTGGTTCAAAGTCAGTTATTACACACAGGATTCAAACCCACATTTTTTGTCACTCCACTTCAAGGCTCTTTTCACTATGTAATTTTGAGAATTCTATGACAGTAAATTTGAGGATATATCATGTACCCCATCATATTACAGCATAACTGGCAATTTATTTATAACTTTAGTCTTAATAAGTGAAGAAACCACCATTGTATATTAAGGTAATATATTGCCAGTGAAAACCATTTGTTTTGAAGGAATACTTCCATTTTCATTATATTAATAGCATAATATCCTGATGGCTTGTATGCCTGGAATTAATTTTGCTGCTTTCTTTCCCAATAGGTGAATGATCTGCAGGTCCAGCGCAAAGCGATAAATGAACTCATCAAAGTGATGAGTGATCTCTCACCAAGATCTAACCTAAGGAAGCGGAAAAGGAGTCAGAATCTGTTTCGAGGCCGCAGAGCATCGAAATAATGGTCATTCTGCCTGCAATATTTGAATTTTTAAAACTAAATCTATTTATTAATATTTAATATTTTACATTATTTATATGAAGAATATATTTTTAGACTCATCAATCAAAGTATTTATAATAGCAATTTTTATGTAATGAAAATGACTATTAATATATGTCTTATTTATAATTCCTGTATCCTGTGACTATTTCACTCAACCCCTTCCCTTTTTTATTCTGACCAGCTAGGCAAGACTGTGATTTCAAGGCTTAATCTCAGGGACCAAGTAGGCAGCCGACTTAAGTAAGACCCTGTGGGGTGTGCATTTATTTCACTTGATACCATGAGCACTTTTAAAGGAAATGATGCCATCCAGTCCCTGCCTATTTGGGAACATGTCTGCATTATGGGCCACTGCTCTAATGGCATGTCAGACACCACTTGAATGTGTCAGGTGATACAACTTGTCTCCTGATTAAGAACATAGCCTTTCTTCTCATGCCTGGTGCTTCAGAATACCACTGACAACTATGACTGTACCCAAATGGAAAGTAATTAATTTGTTTAGTTTATCAATATTTAATATATATGAATAAAGTATAATTTCATAATGATTCATGCTGTGTCAGACTTTTTCTAAGTGAGGACTGGGGTAAATGAACTACACTTTAATGAGTTAGTGGGAAGAAAGTCATTCTTTAGCTGTGGAAATCTTAGACTTGAATGAAGCCCCAAATGTGGTATTTCTCTCCACTGGCAATTTGTTGGCTTCCCCTGCTCCATCTGATAGCTGTTTGAGCTGTCTTTCCAAAATATGAATTTAAGCATGTTACCAATTTACTTCAGAGATTCTGCCACGGAAAGTAGTCTAAATTGTTTAGCTTGGCACACAAAGATTTATTTCTGCCACTTTGTCAACTCCCTATTGCATCCTTTACTTAGGTATACCCCATCTCCTCTGTCTACCTTGGGCAAATGCCACTGGGCATGGAATAGTGAGTGTGAGCCCTAAGGGGAGAGGCTTGGATTGGAATCTTGGTCCCACCATTACAGGTAGTATAACTTTTAATGAATTCCAAGCTCCAGTTTCTTCATGTGATAAAGAAGAAGAATTGTGCCTTCCTCATAATATTGTGGTGAAAAGTTCATTCTTTCACTCAAGAAATATTTATTGGAGCAACTGCTATGTGCCTGGTGATGTTCTAGGCATTTAAGATACCACCATGAACAAAACAGACAAAAATCCCTGCCCTTGGAGAATTTAGAATTTAGCCAGGGGGATATAGATAATAAACCAAATACATAAAATATTAATAAATTGCAAGGCATGTTAGAAGGTGTTAGTTGCTATGCAAAAAAAGTAAAGTAGGAAGGGGGAGTTGGGAAACTATAAGTAAGGCCAAGTGAGTGGTCTAGAGGTTTAAATGGAATGATTAATGCTGACTACATTGAAGAGATGACATTTGAGGAAGCATTTGTAAGAGGTAAGGGAGATAGCCATTTGGATTCTAGGCAAGGGGAACATCCTTGCAAAGGCTCTAAAGTGGAGATTTGTCTTGCATGGTAAAAGAAAAGCCAGCAGACCAGTGTATTGGAGCAGAATGAGTCAAGAACAACTCACATTTTTTAGCTGAGCAACTGAAAAATGAAGCTGCTACCAGCTGAGATGGGGAAACTGGAGTGAGCAGATGTGGGAAGGAAAGTCAGTTCAATTTTGAATAAAAAGTTTAAGGTGTCCATTAGAGTCCTAAGCGGAGGTGCTGAGGAGGCAACTGGCTAGATTAGTCTGGAGTTGGGTGAGAAGTCTGGACAATTGACATAAATCTGGGAGTTGAGGCACAGAGAGGGTATTTAAAGACCTAATACCATGTGAACTCATGAAGATCATGAGTTTATAGAGTGAAGAGGAGTGCAAGGATTGAGTCTCCAGGCATGCCATCAGTAAGAGACTAAGGAGAGCCCAGTGAGGGAGACTGAAAAGAATTGGCCAGTGAAATAAGAGGACAACCAAAAAAGTGAGACATCCTGAAAGCCAAGTGAAGAAAGTGTTTCAGGAATAAACTTTGTCAAGTGCAGACAGGTCCAGTCAGATGAGGACTGAGAATTGGCTCCTGGATTCAGCAACACAGAGACCATTGTTGATCTTTGACAAGAGCAATTTTGATGTAGGTGAGGTTGAAAGCCTGATTGCAAGGGGATTAAGAGAGACATTAGAGACGACAAACATGAATAACTCTTCTTAGAAGTTTTGCTGCAAAGGAGAGCAAAGGAAAGGGTAGCTGTCAAGATAAAAGCGATCAAAAGAAGTTTTAAATTTTTTGGTTGTTGCTTTTGATGGGAGAAGAAACTGCATATTTATGCATTGATGGAAATGATTTAACTAAGGAAAAAATAATAGATGATGTAGGACAGAGAGGGGAGACCTGCAGAGTGGTTCCATGACTAAGTAAGAGAGGTAACTGAGGACATAGGAGGAACTGGCTTTAGGCAGGTGCATAGAAAGCTTATTGGTATTAATAGGTGAGAAAGTAGATTATGTGGATTCTGATTTTGACAGGTGGCTAAATGTGACGGTGAGAAGTTTCGGAAATTTTACCTTGTTTAAAGTTTTCTCAGTGAAAGAGGTGACTGAAGTTTACAGAGGAAGTATTGGAGGCTTGGGAAGAGCAGACAGATCAAGGGAGCGCAATGTGGATTGCCAGGGAGGTTTAAGGACCCGCTTGAGGTCCACAGTTCATGAAGTTAAGGGACATCAGTCGGTGTAACTGAGTGTTTTTCTCCATCTATATAGAGCTGTAGGTGAAGATATAGAGTAGGCAGAGAGTTACATTTAGCAGACTTAATTTGGCCAAGGAAGTACGACAGAAGAAGAGAAGACAAGGAGGTCATGGGGATAGTAAATTGGTGATAAACTCTGAGCTGGTTCAAGAGGGAAGGAATATATCCAGTGGCTGAAGGAGGGTGAAGAAATGATTAGAAGGAAAGGATATCTGCCCCACCTCCAGGCCTGAAAGATAAGAGAGAGAAAACCAGCCATCCTTTGAAGGGTTGAAGGGGAAGCAGTGTCCTTAGGGGAAAATCGGTTTATCTTTTGAGTATGAGGAAGTTGAGGAGTGATAGATTTAGTTGGTGCTGGACTGTGAATTCCAGAAGACCCAGTGAGTACGGGTAGGAGGGGAAGTCATAAAAGGGGAGGTACATAAGGATGTGTTGTGAGTCTTGGACTTCTTATGATCACTGACATAAACAAGGATAATGGATATAATGAGATTAGTTTTGCTGGCTTTGGTGGCAAGGTTGTGAGTGTCAAGGACAGAAAGGGGTAGGTCCTGGGTCTTCCTTCTCAACTATTTCACTTAACCCTTTCACAACAGTAGGAAATAGTGACGAGTTAAGTGAAATAGTTGGTTTAAAGGGGTCAGTTGAGTCCTTGACAATAATCAGTGGTCGTTATTTTGATTATTGGGTAGCCAAGTAATAGTGGGTGAGACTTGATTCCAAAATTTTCAATCGTGGATGAGGCAAGATTGAAAAGAAATTAGGCTGCTCTTGGCACAGCTGCAACTGATACGAACTGTTGTTGGTGTCTCCACTCATTAGTACTTAAGATTGATTGATACAGAATTTATGATATCTACAGATGGAGGACTACTGTGAGATTATCTTGTTTGGACCAAAGAAGCAGACCAGACCTCTTTGGAAAGGGAGAAATTCCAACTGTCCATTGTCTTGAGAAGTGATTAATCATGAAATGGGAAATGAAGCCCCAGGAGGTTGGCCTTGGTTTAGGGCTACATAAACCATCCCCCTCTCTGAAGTTGGTGTTAGTTTGGTGCGGCTTTGAGACATGGAGTGATATAGACCGTATTAGGTGATATGATGGAGACTGGGAATGAGACAGAGAGAAGACTGTGTAAGAGAACTTGAGTGGGCTTATGCAGTAGTTATAAACTATTCTCTCTATTGTATGTTTCCTCCATTATGTGCATACCTAGTCTAAGAAGTACTATGGGGCTTAGAGAAAGGATAGCCTGTGTTTTAGACTAAGGGACTTGGGGACAGCACTGATTCCTGGTTCAATGCCAGTAGGGGCAGTCATCTCCTTTGGCTCATGGGCGGCAGAGGCAGCAGCCTAGGTCTAGAATGGGAGAACCCACTTGTATAAAGTCCCACCATTAGTGACTCCCCAAAATAGCTGGTATACCTTTACTGGCAGGGTGCTTTTGACAATTAGGCAATTGGTAGGAAGCATTAAGAATCAATGAAGTTTCCTCTTCTTTTTCTTCCTCTTCTCCTCACTTTTCCTGCCCCTTCCCATCTTGAACAATATAATCCTAAAGCAATTAGGTGCATCAGAGTAAAGTAGGCATCTGCAGTTGTCTACTATGGGAAGTCAAATTCTAAGCAAGATGAGAAGGGTGTACATGCAGGGAAAAAATCTGGTTCGGAAGATATTAGAGACCAGAAGAATATGGAGAATGTTCAAGAATGGATGAGAAGTATATTAGTTCTGTTGCTGTCGTGATAAATGATTATAAACTTAGTTGCTTAAAATAACATTCATTTGTTATCTTATAATTTTGGATTGCTTAGCTAGTGGCCCCCTCTTCCTTCTTCAAAGCCATCAGCTTAGCATCTTCTAATCTCTTTCTCTCTCTCATTCTGACATTCCTACCTTCCTCTTTTAAGGGCCCTTGTGATGACATTTGGACCACTTAGATTATTCAGGATAATGTCTCCATCTCAAGATTTTTACTTAATCATATCTGAAAATTTCCTTTTGCTATGTAAAGTAACACTCAAGCATTCCAGGAATTAGGATATGGACATCTTTGTGTGTGTGTTGGGAGGGCGGTAATTATTCAGTCACGAACTTACTCTGACACGATTTAGGGAACAGAAAGCTTTTCTAACTCTTCCGTAAGTTGGTGATTGTTTCAAAATAAAAAAATGTGAAAAAGCCACTGTGAGATTATTTCAGAGTCACAAGCTGGTGAGGTCTAAAATTCTTGACTTATTTTGTTCCAATCACACTAGATAACTTAGAATTCCCATATATACATGTGACAAATTGAATTTTCCAAAGAGGACCACATCTATATGTTTACTCTATTCCCATGCTATTCTTACAAGGGAACTGACATTTTCCCCCCTGAGAGGTGAGGTGTATGTCCCTCCCCTAAATGCTGGGGCATGAGCTTGTGTCTTCCTCTACTAGTGGAGTGTATGTAAGTGATGTTCTGTGACTTCCAAGTCTAGGATGCAGCTTTTCCCTGGCTTCTCCCCACCAGCCCCTCTACCTCCCATCCAAACCCCACCCCCCGCTGCCACCTTTCAAGACATTTGCCCTTGGAACCCACCATCATGTTGAGAAATTAAGGCTGCACGGGGAAACCACATGAAGATGTTCTAGTCATCAGTCC